TTATGTTATTTACCTGCAGGAAGAGCATGCATCCAGTATACTCGTGTTTTATTTTCCCACCTTCTTCAGATTCACCCAAGTGATCCATTAAAGTTTCAAGCACATATGTACACCAGTTGTAAGACTTGATTTCATTCACATTATGACCAGCCTTTAATTATTTTACATGTGCACTGTAACGTCCATTAGGTGTTAGAAAAATGGCAAATGCAAAAAACACAAAGGCTCTTTTGAAAACTTCACAAGGCTCAGATTGTTCTACCCTTTCCATCAGAGTTTTTACATGCAACCCACTTTGATATCCACCTTCACTTATCCAATTGGCTTTAAGAAGCTAACATGTAGGCACGTCCGCGATTCCAGCAGGTAAGCCGAGGATGTTGTGGACATCAATTGCATTAATTTGGAGATATTGATTATCTTTAAGTTTAAGTTTAATGCACCGTTTCTGTATCTCCAAATGCCCAATGATGTAATCAAAGAGTGTGGTAGACAAATGCTGACATTGTAGGTTCAGCAAATTGCCGAAACTTATATCTGCCACATCCTTCTTCTTTTCGTCTCCAAGTTTAGATAATGTGTTAATGAATTTGGAAATCGAGCATTTGTTCCACCCAGTTTTAATCTTGTATTCAACCTACAACATCCCAATAAATAAAATGTCACATTTATAATTTCATTTAACTACCAGTAAGGAAGCATCAATTGCATTCTTTTCTACTGCATATTATGTTATCAAAATAATAACAAATTCAATTAAAAATTTAATCAAACTCCCCAACTTACCTTCTTCTTCTTTTTGTTCACTGTTAAGCCTCTATGGTTTTTGAACTCCAAATCGCGCAATCTTTTATCCTCATAATATAGACCCTTATCCTCCATGCTCATACCATTCCATGCATCCTTGCATTTCAATTCCAATATTTTTTTATCACCACCCTTCATTGGCCCATGCACTTGTTGATAGTTCTTCATGAAAGCAGCCCTCATACACATGATATCATATACAATATCACCAACTCAACATCAGCATTTCAATTCAATACATATGTTTCACAACTTATTTCACGACTTACTTATACACTTATCAATTGAAAGATAAATATGTTGAACCAAAAATTTCCTAAACTTTCATAATTACCAAAGTACCACATCAGTAAAAGAAAATTTCATTTCAAATGCATACAGAAATTATGTTTTACCATTATGAATAATTCCAAATCCTAAACAATCAATTTCCATGTCAACATAAATATTAGACAAATGAAAAATATATTTGCTCAACAGGGAACCATAATTCATGCAAATGCTATTGTGAACATGAATATTAATTTGAATGCATACTTTATTTAAATAAAAGGTAAACTCCTCCTCCACGACGCAGACTATTCACTGATGCGCTACTGCTTGGCTAGGGATTATAATCCTCTTCGTTCGCCTCAACATTATAATCCTCATCAGCAAGGTCAGATGATTTAGGGATACGAGTATGAGTAGATGATCTAGGGGGGGTGTATGACCCGCAGAAGAAGATTAATTATGGATGCTTTGCATCATACATTAAAAAGTAGGAGAAGGAGGCGGATGAACGATATTGTCCGCCATTTTTTTTCCGTATAGGTATTTTTTTTCATACAGGACCTTTCTTTCGAACTATCGATTTTTGCCGACCCATTTCTAAACCAGTCTTTACAACGCAGTAAAGCACACTCTATTATGCACAAACAACTTTTCCACCAATTGTCAGTCAACAAAATTTTTACTATAAACAGATAATTAATTGTAAAAAAAGTGTAACAGGAAAATCATACAACCCAACAACATATACAACACACCAATTACCATTACAAATTGCATAAAACATTGCATTGCCTTACACGAATAAAATTTTCATAATTTTCAATTCATTTTCCCACAATTTAATAGTAACAAATAATCAATCAAAACTAATGATACAGAATTTAATTGAATTCTATCATAGTATACTGTACTATTTATGATGCATAACTTTTTCAAAATTTCACAAATAACCAAACAAAACTAATAAAATAGAATTTAATATAGTATATTCAATCAAATTAAACCTCTGAGTTTGGAAAGGGATGGACAGAATTTAATAGGATTCAATCAAATTATACTATACTATTTATCACGAATAACTTTTTCAAAATTTCACAAATAATCAAACAAAACTAATAAAACAGAATTTCATATAGTATATTCAATCAAATTAAAACCTCTGCGTTTGGAAAGGGATGGACAGAACCTTTGGAAAGAAAACCTAAGTCCGACAACTGTAATAACCATGACTTTCTTCCAACTCCACTTTCGAAAACCTAAGTCTGAGAACTATAATAATAACAACATCTTCTCGCGACCTTCTTTCAACTCCACTTCCGAAAACCTAAGTCTGACAACTATAACAACCTCTTCTCGCGATCTTCTTCCAAGTCCTTCTCCTTCTTCCAATATTCGACTCCCTTTCCCTTCCCTTCTGACCTATTCAACGACCTAGAAAATGAAAGATATTTTGGAGGATTTTTTAATATGAAGGATATTTCAGTAAATTCTCCCAAATATTTAATATATACAAGTGTATATACACTATATATATATATACACACACACTACAAATACACTGTTTAACAACTGAGGGTAACTTTTTCAACAGTAATTTTTTTTAATTGACGTGGCCCTATCTGGGCCACACATCCGAACCGACCGGAACAGGTCTCTGGTTCGACTGGAGACAATTTCCTTCCTCTTTTAATAACATTATTATTCTTTTTTCTTTTTTTTTTAATGCAGTTTTTCATCTTAGACCTCATGAAATAATGCTAAAAATAAATAAATAAATTTCGGTTGGAGTTTTGTTCTTTCAAATAAGAATATATTCATTCAAAAAGAGCCCATGGGTCTTGGTGTGCTATCATTGAAGCGGGTGGACTATTGCCGGCCGAACCCCCCCCTCCCCCCCCCCCCCCCCTTTTTTTTTTTTTTTTTTTTGTACAGTTTACAAATTTAAGAAACAAATGGACGTTATTAAATTATATTTATATTTTCAGAAAACTAAAAATTAAACATAGTAATAGCAAATATTAAACTCATAAATGTAGAGGAAAAAAATATTACACACATAAACATGAATGTCATAAAAAGAAAAGTAAAAACCAGAAAACTAAAAATTAATTGCAAATAATTATAAATAGAAATAGTAAATGTTAAACACATAATGACATAAACAGAAAGAAAAAACAAAAAATGTGATTTTTTCCCCCCAAAAGTCAATCAATTATATGGATGAAAAACAATATATACATCCGTGGATTCGCTATGCAAACACCAGCCCAAAAGAGAAAAGGAAATAAAAAGGTCCAACAAAAGATTTGGACCATTGTAGAAGCCCATAAGGGCAAACAGGCCCAAAGACTACAAAACAAGAAAGGCCCAACAAAAAATTGTGATTTTTGTCACGGGTGTAGCCCAGTTGGTTGACAGGACGAATGTTTGATATCTGAACAAGTATTGGTGTTTCAAGTGTGGGTTCGAATCTCTATATCATCCTACTAGTACGAGTGGGGTCATCCAATGAAAAGACTTAAAAAAATTTAATTGTGATTTATCTTTACCATGATATGATTAAGACTCGATCACGGTAATAGTCGCGGTTCAGGACGAATTGAGGAATTGCCGGTGGGTAAACTAATAGTAATAATAAATTTTTTTTTTATTTAGCTGGTCTAAAATTAGGTATATTAAAAATTTAAAAGTTAGCCCTATTTGTTAGTGATGACGAAGTAATAGACTGAATCTACCGATTCATGGTATGGATCACTTAAAAAAGAGTAACAAATCAGGCAATACTGTGATATGACCCTTTTTCTCAAAATGGTGTTTAAAAAGCGGCTTCTGGTTTTTATCTTTGAAACGAAATTTAAATGTCTTCTGGTTTTTATTTTTTTCTTAAAGTCCAAAAGTATGAATTGTTTTATTATTATTATTATTTTTGGGGTAGTGTTTGGAAAGGATGGGTCAAGCTTCGTGCGTTTAGAAGAAGCCCTTCCAACAGAAGCTCGTTGGGGCCAGCTTCTTGAGGAAGCTCCGACTCCGGTTTTCTGAGTAACGAATTAAATTACCAAAACAGGAATCGTCCCATCCCAATTCTGGAATCTGGACTGGTTCACTGTCTTTGTCTTCTAGGGTTTGAATTCAAGCTCTGCTTCTCTTTCAATTCCAATCTCATTCATCGCTTGTGCTCTCTCATCTTCTTTTTCCATTTGATCTCTCACGCCCATACGATATCGGTCTCCATTTGGTGGTATGTGTATATATATATATATATAGTATTTTATACCAGCACATGTGCATATTTTATTGTTTTTATCCATCTCAACATTTTCACTTTGATGCTTAAAATTAAACCCTAATTCCCAAACTCTACCTACACAGACACAAATACGTACTTAAATATGGATATTACACACTATAAGATTGTTTGGCCAAGAGGAAAAAGAAGCTACTTGAAGTAATTGTGCTGTATTATTTGAATTAAGTTGCATAAATTTGTCTTTGGTTCATGTCTATGGGCATATATATATATATATAACACTGTTTGTGTTGAGCTTGTATTCTGTTGATTGTGATCAAGGCGGAAGCCCACCCCTAAAAATATATACTCGCGTCCCAAATTTAACGTCGCGTCCATCCCAAATGTGAATTAAGATTACCAAAAACGATACTCATTTTGATGAAAGGAGTATGTTTTTTTATTAAAGTTAGTAAGCCAATTTAAATATATATATATATTTTATTAATCATATTAGCCCACTGAAAAATTAGTCCACTTAATCATGTTCAAGCCATACTAAATTAAAGGCCCAAACCAAATAAGCCCAGGACCCTGACCCAAGGCCACAAGGGCGGTCACCTAGGGCTCAAGATTTATAGGCCCATGGATGATGAGCCTCCAGACCCAAAAAAAAAATATTTTTAGGGCAATAATTTCAGCCTCCCCAATCGCCTCCATCTCTATTCTCGTTCTCAACTCTGAGCTTGCCTTGCCCTCTCTCTCTCTCTGCAACTACAAACTACAAAATCTACAAGAATCAGAAGTTCAAAACCCATATATTTGAGTTTATCTATCTGTCTGCAAGAATCAAAAGTTCAAAACCTATTACCTTTATCAAAACCCATATCGGCATATCATTACAGATTGTTCCAAAAATCAAAACCCATATCTCACAGTTTCCATCGCCCGCTGTTCCAGTTCGGGTTCGCCGTTCGCAAGCTTCAGCCGTTGTCCCTCAACTCTCAAGCGTGCCGCCCACATCCCCCCCCCCCCCCCCCCCTCTCTGCATCTGCTAACTTGTATGTATGGGTTTTTTTTTTTTTTTTTTCTAAATCAGCTAATCAAGCTCTGTAATTCTTGTTTTGCAAACTAAATCCTATTTGGTGAAATTTTTTATGATCTTTTTTATTTTTATTTTTATGAATTTTAGTTATAAATATTTGTGAAGATAATGACTGAAACAGGATCTCCCTTTGCAGGATTTGAAAAACTAATTGGTAAATTTGGGTTGAACTTGAGTCTTGAACAAGCTGAAGGCCCTTATCGTGGATTATAATTTTTACAATTACAGCATCCTACGGTCGTGCTTTCATCACTTCAGACTCTAAGTATAAAGCACAACAAATTGGATCAATTGATATTCAAGGTAAGTCGTTTCTTCAATTATTCAATATATATATATATATATATATATATATATATATATATATATTTATTCCAGATTTTTTCATGCTAATAATAAATTGGATGTTTACCACATAAAAGCATAAATCTGTCAATTAATATGGGCACCCAATTGTATATGAAACAAAGTACAATATAAAGTAACAAAATTTCTTAATATATAAACAACAAAATTACTTAATGTGCGGTGAAGCTCTAAAGTTACTTCTTGAAAATTAAAATACTTACAAAAAGAATGCTTTTGAGTGAATTCCATAGTGTTGGAAGGAGCTTGCCATGAACTACCTCATACACTGCTTCCACTCGTAGATTCTCAAATAGGATTAGTAAATTTGTCAAAAGAAGAGATAGGATACTGAGTGGTGAATTGGTCAGAAATAAATTTGTAATTTTTTTTTATTAATTACCCAAATAGGACTTCTATGCTTAATAAGACAATTGTTTAAAGAAACATGGTTAATTAACTAAAATTGAATTAAACAACAGTTGGTTTTGGTTGATTTATTTTGATTTAGGTATTTTTAATCTAATTCATTATTTAATTTTATTAGGTTAAAAATAATAATGTCTCAACATCAACCTTCAAACAAGAAAGTGAAATTCATGTCTATTCTCTCATTCTATCAAAAGAGAGGCCAAATGAGTGACGACGGTCAATCAAAAAAGGATATACCTAGTGGTAGTGCATCTAACATTGGTGATGATCAATCGAAAAAGGATATACATAGTGATCTTGATTTGCAACCTCCTGCCCTACCTCAAGTTGTTGAACCCAATCAACTTCACTCCACTTCTATTGAAAGAGATCCTGGGTTACGTATTTAAATACATGAATACCCGGTAAATCAAATGGGTGAGGTTAGAAGAGCTTTTTTTTTTTTTTTTTTTTTTTTTTTTTGTTTAAAAAATTTTGTTATTAAATTTATGTTTACTATTAGCCCACTCCATTGAGAAATCCTGGATCCGCCCTTGTGTATCGGTCAGCGAACCATGATATGACCCTTTTTTTTCAAAATTGTGTTTAAAAAGCGTCTTGTAGTTTATTTTTTTTTTTTTTGAAACGAATTTTAAATGGCCTCTGGACCTTCTGGTTTTTATTTTTTTCTTAAAGGCCAAAAGTATGAATTGTTTTTTTTTTTTTTTTTCTTTCCTGGGTAGTGTTTGGAAAGGTGGGTCAAGCTTCGTGCGTTTAGAAGAAGCTCTTCCAACAGAAGCTCGTTGGGACCAGCTTCATGAGGAAGCTCCGACTCTGATTTTCTGAGTAACGAATTAAAATACCAAAAAACAAATCATCCCATCCCAATTCTGGAATCTGGATTGGTTTCACTTTCTTTGTCTTCTAGGGTTTGAATTCAAGCCCTGCTTCTCCTTCAATTCCAATATCATTCATCGCTTGAGCTCTCTCATATTGCTCTCATCTTCTTTTTCCATTTGATCTCTCACGCCCATACGATATCGGTCTCCATTTTGTGGTATGTATATATAGATATACATGTGTGTGTGTGTGTATGTATTTTATACCAGCACATATGCATATTTTATTACTCTTATCCATCTCAACATTTACACTTACATGCTTAAAATTAAACTCTAATTCCCAAACTCTACCTACACAGATATGGATATTAGTATTACATACTATAAGTTTGTTTGGCCAAGAGGAAAAAGAAGCTACTTGAAGTAATTGTGCTGTGTTATTTGAATTAAGTTGCATAAATTTGTTTTTGGTTCATGTCTATGGGCACACACACACACACATATATATATAACTCTGGATGTGTGTTGAGCTTGTATTCTGTTTATTGTGCTTCCTTTTCAGTTCTATGTATGTATCTGATAGTTAACAACCCTTCAAGCTCAATCATTTCCTGTCAGAGTTTGTTGTTTGTTGTTTGTTGTTTCTTGTTTCTTGTGTCAGTTCACTTACTAAATCGAGTTGTCACTTATCAATAGTGGTGATGTAATATGAGTAAATTCCAAATTAAAATTTATTTATCATCTCATTTAATCATTCTTTGCATATTTCTGAACCCAAGAAACAAGAAACCTCATAAAGAAGTGCTAGTTTCAATGGGCTGAATTTTAGGTAGACCAAAATATAGTTCTGTTGGCTCTTTCTTTCTTTCTTTATTTATTTTTCCCCTTTTCTTTTCCTTTCCTCTCTTTTGGTTGTTGGTTATATTGTCCACACTAGCTTTAATTATACTGAAATGTTTATTGTGTGGATGAAATCATTCCCATCGTCTACTTCTTCGAGCAAATAGAATTGTGTTACAGACTAATAGTTCAATATCTGCAGATGTGAAAGTAGTTGTAGCATGCTGTGTTCTATAAAGATTTTGAAACATCGGATATCAAATCTTTCCAATTAATACTTAAGTTTCCAAATAAAAGATTTTGATGGATTTTAGTCATAGAAACTTTGAATTGAAGGATTTCAAATTCATCTTGAATTCAAATACATGTACCCTGATTCAACTTTAATGTATTGCATGTTTTCAACTTTCAGTCAGCATGGATCTTATGACTTTCTAGAGAAATTTAACTTATTGTTCATTTGTTTGATAAAATGTTGAATTATGCTTTATGACTTGATTTCTTGTATTGCAGTATTGTAGTCTGTAATAGAAGCTATGGATGAGGTTGATCATTACAATGTTTTGGGTTTGCCATCTGGTGAAGAAGGAGCTAAACTTTCTAATGAAGATATTAAAAAAGCATATAGGTTGAAGGCATTGGAATTGCATCCAGACAAGAGGCCGGATGACCCCAATGCTCACACTGGCTTCCAGAAGCTCACTACATCTTATGGAGTTCTTAAGGATGTTCAAACGAGGAAGCTTTTTGATGATCTTCTCCAAGTCAGACGTGAACAGATTGTTCGTAGATCACAACATGATTCTAAGCGTCAGAAGATGATGTCTGATCTTGAAAAAAGAGAGCGAGCTGCTTTTGCTCCGGACTATGCCACAAAAGCTCGAGAAGAAGAAGAGAGAATTGCTAAGAAGCTTAAAGAAGAGATTGCAAGAATTCGGGCAATGCATGCCAATAAAGCAGCATCTCCAACACCAGTTCCTAAGAAGGAGAAAACCGTAGGAGGAAAGGGGGGAATGGATGGTGCTGGGACCGGACTAGATAAAGAGAAGGTGCTTAAGGTATCATGGGAGAAAACTGGGGGGGATTATAATGCTCAAAGATTGAGGAAGTTGTTTGAGCAGTTTGGTGAGGTTGAGGATGTAGTGATCAGGAGTTCAAAGAAAAGAGGCTCGGCACTGGTCGTAATGGCATCTAAAGATGCAGCCGTAAGTTCATATTGAGATCTTAAATTTGCCTAATTGCACTTCGTTTTGACAATCATGATTATATTGCTATTCACACTAGGATATTCTGCTTGACAGGCTGCTGCTACTGGAACTATGTGCGGAGATCTTTCAAATCCTCTATTAGTGATTCCCCTTCAACCAACCACAACTACTGCGTTTCATAGTGCCCAAGGATCTTCTGAACATGATGGTCCAAAACTAAGCAATTTGGTTGGTGCTGGATATCAGGCTTTCGAAGATACAGTGTTGAAGAAACTAGAAAAGGTTTGAATTGTGTTTGAAACTGTCAGTTTGCAATTTTTTTTCCACCTTAATATATTAGGTTATATGCGGGAATCCAGATTTGAGTTTGAGAATAGACAGTAATTCCTTGGATTTCAAATATATAGATATTGGAATCTACGGATTTTAAAATCTGCCGTTTTGAGATAAATTATATCAGGAATGGATATGAAATCCATGAATTTTAAATCAATTTTGTGTCAAATATTTAGGAAGGATTTGAGAAACAAGTTCTGAAAAATCCTTTAAAATTAAGAAATTTTAAATAAGAAAAAGATAATGAGATAAACAAAAAGGGCCTTTCCAGACTAAAAATACATCTAACCAAATTTATTTGCTCAACTGTTCTTTAGTTCACAAGATTGCTTTTTCTTAACTAGAAAACAATAATGCATATATCTGCATATATACTACAACTGAAGCCGTTAACAACCAAGACACAGTCAGAAAACAAGCTTCAGCAATTTGTCCTATTGGATGGAATTCTTGTCCAGAGAAAACAAACTCAAGCGATCTTTCACACCAAAATACAGGAAACATTATTACAACTAAAGCTGTTATATTGCTCAATCACTATAGAAACACCAAAATACAGGAAGCATTATTACAACTAAAACTGTTATATTGCTCAATCACTATAGAAACCCACTCGCAATGACATAACCATTCATGAGTCATGTTGAGTTTATTTCTTGTAGGAAGAAAAGAGAGATTTGCAGGATGGTTGAAGAGCTTTTTAATGTTAAAGTCACAGTGATGGTTACAGGGATAAACTGGATAGTAATGAGATTTGAAAATGGGGTTATAGGGATGGAAAAGTTAATGGTTGCAAGCTTGGTCTTGATCTGTTACTAGAGGGGTGAGTTAAAGACGTGACAAAGAGAGAAAGGAAAGAGATAGAGGGTTAGAGAGGAAAGGGAATGGCAGTTTAGAGTGATGAAAGTTTGCTGGAAGTGGACTGATAGGGGAAGGAGATTTGGAGATTGGGAAGGGCAAGAGGAATTGGGAGGGGAGATTCTAGAATGACATCACACTTCCATTTTAAGGTGTTCTGTTTGAAGTTGTTGGTGAATTGTTAATTCAAAATGTAGGTCTACAGTGTTTATTCCCCCTAATAAGATGTACGTCTACAGTGTTGAATCAGCTGTCAGTTTCTTTATTGTGTTGGTATCCGTTTCTGTTGTAGGATTAAAGTTCAAATGTTCAATCACGAGGATATTATTTTTGGGGGGTTGGGGGCGGGGAGCTGCAATTTATGAGACAATTACTTACCAAAAAAGAATTAAAAATGTTAGGCAAGTAAAAAATTAAGAAAGAGGCATTTTAAGCAAGACTTCTTTTAATAGTGTATATGATTAAGCTTTTATTTTTTTATATTTTTGCCTTTTATGTTATATTCTAGTGGAGAATAAAAGATGATGATAAAGACAAGCTTTTCCCAGATCATTTTGTCACTTCATCTCCTCTAAACATGCGCGCGCACACACACACACAGAGTATGATGTACTAGCTAGTTGTCTTTTGACACTTTGACCTGCTTATTTTTGCTTTTCTCGCAATAATCTGGACATAGATCTTTAGTAAGTTCTAACTTCTGTGCTTATGACAAACTTTTAAGCATTTGCTTTGCAGATGGCTTCCACAGTTGATCGTGTAATCTAACTAAGATAGTTGCCGTGTTTGGAAAACATTCATATATTTTTTTTGATAGGTAATTAAAAGCAATAACATTAAAAGAAACGCGAACCCTTTACAACAAAACAAAAGACAACAAAAGCACCATTACAAAGAGAGGTTGTCCAAAAAATCCATTAGAGAATCCGTAGATGAACAACTTCTCCCATTCACCCAAAAATGGAGGGAGTGTAGAATGTTTGATTTAATCTCCCAAATAGAAGACTCCACTCCGTCAAAAGCTCTCCTATTCCTCTCACACCACAAACCCCACCATAAACAGAGCGGGGTTACCCTCCAAGCATCTCTAGATCTCCTGGCCACTCGCTGCCCTCGCCAAGCCTCTATCATTCCCCTTGTGTCTTTGGAAATAACCCAATCCACACCAAATAAAGCCAAGAACATAGCCCAGATATCCGATGCAACAGAACAATGCAACAATAGATGATTCACAGATTCCCCTGTATTTTTGCACATAAAGCACCAATTAATTGCAATCTGGTGTCTTCTCCTTAGATTATCCAAAGTAAGAATACTTCCAAGAGATGCCGTCCAAGTAAAAAAGGCCACCTTAACTGGTGCTGAAGTCCTCCAAACAGCTTTCCAAGGGAAAACCGTGCGGACGGACTCCGTGAGGCTTCGATAAAATAACCTTACCTCAAACACCCCCTTGGATCCATCCTGCCACACCATTGCATCGCTGCCCTCCCACTCCACTACTTGCTTATACAATAAACCCAAAAAATCTGTAATCTCTAATAGCTCCCAGTCATTAAAACATCTGCGGAATAACACATCCCAAGTTACTCTCCCATTATCAAGCCGATAATAGTTTGCAACCATAGCGTGCTTATTTCCAATAATCCTAAATAAACGAGGGAATCTACTCTCCAAAGCTACATCTCCACACCATAAATCCTTCCAAAATCTAACCTGACTCCCATTCCCTACTCTAAACCTAATCCGTTTTGAAAACTCATCCCAACCCTTCCGAATTCCTTTCCAAACACCCAAACCCACTGAATGAGTCACCTGACTGGACTTCCATCCGCCCCTCTTCCCTAAAGCGGCAAGCAATAATTCGCCTCCATAACACATGCCTCTCATTCCCATATCTCCACAGCCACTTTCCCAGTAGAGCTTTATTTGCCCATTTGAACTTGCGAATCCCCAATCCCCCTTTAACAATAGGGGTGCAAACTTTCTCCCAATTAACAAGATGATATTTAAATTCCTCTCCCGTGCCACCCCACAGAAAATTTGCTTGAATGCAGTTAAGTCTGCTTGCCACAGTGCTGGGTATTGGAAATAAAGACATAAAATATGTAGGTAGATTAGAGAGTGTGCTTTTCAATAGGATAAGTTTACCTCCTTTTGATAAGTATTGTTTCTTCCACCCAGAAAGCCTCTTCTGGAATCGTTCAATAACAGGATCCCACACAGCCACTCTCCTCATAGAACTCCCAAAGGCTGTCCTAAATAAGAAATTGGCAAGTATTCCACCCCGCATCCCAAAATATCTGCTAGCTCTTGAATATTCAGCACCTCTCCCACTGGGACGATCACACTTTTCCGGACATTAATTTTCAGACCCGAGACCACTTGAAAACAAGCCAAAACACATTTCAGATGCCTCATCTGAGTCACATTTGCATCACAGAGAACTATAGTGTCATCTGCAAATAGAAGGTGTGATGTAATAATCTGATTTGAGATGCTCCCAACTGAAAGCCCTTGAATAAAACCCAGATGGTCCGCCCTTTTCATTAATCTGCTAAATGCTTCCATAACAATAATAAAAAGGAAAGGGGAGAGAGGGTCCCCTTGATAAATGTGCGTGATTATATATCTTGAATATTTTTGGTAATATTTAGAATCTTGTATTAGCGTGGTGGGGGTCCTATGTTTTACATTAACTGAATTTTGCAAGATGATGATTTGGCTTTTGCTCTTTCGTTTTTGTGTATTAGGGACACGTTCCCCTTTTGAACGTTTTTCTAATATATTTTTACTTATCAAAAAAAAAATTGAATTTTGCAAGATGGGTCCTATTGTCATGTTCTCATGCTACTCAGAGGTCAAAGTTTATCTTCTCTTTATACTGTGTTAATTAGATTTTGGTTTTCTTTCGTTTGAAATTTTAAATATATGTATTTTTTCCTTGGCAAGAAACTCACACACCCATTTGCCCCATGGGGACTTGAACCCTCACCTCACACTTTGAGAGGTAGAGGAGATACCACTAGGCTACGACGCCATTGGTTGAAATTTTAAATATATATGTACATATAACTAGTTTCACCCCCACAAATCACCATATCGTAGTATTTTGGCCGCCAAGTAGTGTCATACTCGGTGCTTGGACTTCCGCAGGTGTACCTCAATTAATCTGACCTACTAGCTTGAAGAAAATGTTTTATCTCCTGGGCACCAACTGACTAAAAAATGGTGGAAGAAAATGGATAATGGCTCATTTTGCATTTCTTGATGAAATGATCCCTCTTTATAATAGAGTTTTTCTTCATTCTCTATGTTAATTGCATATATCGAGTATTATGATACCTTTTCTAATTTAACATGACTGTACATCAATCTTTGCCAAAGTCTCCCTCTCTTAGGTCACCTTACATAAGCATCTTTTCTTAATTTTGGGTTTGTGAAGAAGTATGCTAATTTTGAGGGAGTAAATTGCAGCAAATATTACGCCATCCAGAAATTGAAAGAGTAAAGGAAATAATTTCCTAACTTTTGAGCTCTTTGAATGTGTACAATCAGTTAGATGTATTCTGTATGGTCAATCATCTATTTATGGGATCTTCGTGAATCGTGATTGTACCTGGACTATTCTTTGTCGGATGGCATAAATAATTGTTTCTATCGCATATTATACATTTTTTTTTTTTCATTTTTTGGTGGGTGGATATTAGACATCTGGATTTAGCTTTGTTGTTGATCAAATTTCTTGTGTTACAGTTGTGCTATAAAGGGTCATCACTCAATATGGTCCCTGTTAATCGAGGGTGCTAGAAAAGGCAGATTGGATACAGACTGAGCCTGTTGTATTAGCTTGCACTAAGTGTCTACTCTGACATTCAAACCCGCCTTCTCACAGCTTGACAGCCCAAGCATTTTATCACATGCTCACACTCGTGAAATAAATTAATGGTTGTGTGCAAAATAGAAATTAAAAAATAAAAAACTGTTGATGGTATCATTTATGTATTAATGTGGATGTTCTACTGCCCTCTGCTCATGGTTAAGCTCTAGTATATGGGTTCTGTGGTGTTGTATTATTGCTCATATGGATCTTTGTTTCGATTAGGTTTTGGTTGACTTTTCTTCCCTATATGGAGCATTTATCAAAGCTAAAATGAGGATTATATTATGCACAAGTGGCAAGACAAGGAATGGTGGATTTTCTCATAATTATATCCGTGACCATCAAGACATGAAACAATGAAATTATAAGATGATTGTTGACTTAAGTGACTATATAGAGTCTGAAGTAGACTGAGGAGTGATGATTCAAGTTGATGGAGATATGAAAGAGAAGTGCCAAAATCAATACTAAACTAGAGTGGTGAATAGGATTTGCTTAACTACCTCAAACAGTTTTCTTAAGGATTCCTGGGTTGTGCTGTCAGTTGGTTGCTATTTTAATAGTTTGTAAGGGCTTTGATAACACTGACCTGGATTCTATTGGTTGTGTATTGGTCCTCAACAATTCTCTACCTCTATGATTTTTCCATAACAGTTACCTAAACTGCCTTTTGGGCACACATGCCCTTGCACGTTGCATTTTGGAATTTAGCATGTTTATGAAGCAATGCCTTTTGTCTGGAATGTCTCAGGATAGATTGTGTCTACTGTGTTTATCGTGCACGCGTGTATTTAGATATGAGTTTCCTCATGTTTGACCTTAAAATTCTGTTGCTGTTTATTCTTTTTATTATCTTATTATGGTACAGATGTTCAATTTTTCCTGTCAAAAGGAAGTCTGTCAGTGATTTGATGGGAATATACGTTTTCAGTGTTTATGAAATTGGGAACACATGGAGGATTTGGAGATCCCCATTCAGCCCTCCTCCTGACCCCTTGTTTTTCTCGATTAGAGATTGTAAGAGTGTTCTTAAAATGCCCTTAATGTAGTTAAGTTGGAAATGTGCTTGCTTTTTTTCACTGGTCTGCTTGTGGTACATTGCGGATCAAATGGTCAGTGTTATTGAGTGGAATTTTTTGCCTGGGTTGCGTCACACTTGATATTATAGTTCATAGGCATAAATGTCTGGTTTTCTTGCTCTTTACTAATAATTTACAAATTTATTGTCAAATTTATTGTCAGTTTCCCTAATTATGATATTTCCTGATGAACAGGCAGCAGGGAAGCAAAAATGATGTGCGAAAGCGTCGAAGATAGGTGTTTAAAGTGGTACTTGGCAAAGTTTGTATATATTAGAATGAAACTCGACTGGTATCATAATCTCTTCCATTAGAAGCTATCGAGTGAGTCTGACCCTCAACCTCTTTTCCCAATGGAGTTTTCTGCTCTTGCGGAGTTTGACAGTGTTTTGGATTATTTTGAATCCAGATGATCAAATGCATATTTAAAAGGCTGAGACTTTGTATGCTATAGATTCTTTGAGAGAGAGAAGGGGGGATGCCCCAAAGCGGACACAAGATATCTGCGCACCGACCATTAGGGGTAACAGCCTCCCGAATGATGGCAAGGAGATTGTGCCCGGTGACATTCAAGATGCGGGATTGTTTGGATACGCTCGTTACTTCAATAAGCTTGCAGTTGTTAAGTAAGGAGCCAGCCAGCATTAAGTCAGTTTCCAACAGTGAAAGTCAGGGTACGGTCTTATGGCCAAATACAATTGATTCTTGAAATTTCGTCTTTCTGAAGATTATTAATTTATTCCTCTTAATATATATATGGTTCCCTTTTTTAACGATTCGAGTTGGTCTCCTTTTATAAAATATAATATTGTAATTTTACAATTCAGTTTTGATTTTTTTTTTTTTTTTTTATACAATATTGTTTCTAACTATTTGTTGATATTATAATGTGCATGTCTTTCAAACGACACTAAATTCAGGGGCTCTAGTTATAGCCGAATACAAGGAAATATCATTTATATCAATAGTCGCACATCTCACGCAGAAGGCGAAATAGGTCTCCTTAACGGGTGGCCCTGAGCCATCAGTGATATACCACCATGAGAGCCCAAAACTGCGTATGATACAATGTTTGGTGTGAAATAGTTCAACTTCAACTTTATTTTTTCCTCATTATTAAAAATTGGCTTTGTGATTAATTTTTTACACTGTTATGCGTTACATGCCATAAACATAGAATAAGCAAAAAGATCACAAACAATATCATATGAAACAAAGGACCACAACCCACTTAGCCAAGACAAAACAAAACCTCCAGACAATTTAAACAAGCCCAACACCAAACAAACTCAAGACATCAGTCTCGACAGCAACTTAATGATTTAAAAGGTGTCGGGTGGTTTGGGCTGGCTAGCCCTAGCCCCCACAAGAAGTGCAAGTTAAACAACAAAAGATTGAGACGGAAACGACTCAGAAATACAGGATTCACCATTTTGCACACCAGACTTCCCAAATGATTCTGAGGGATGACAAACCACAGCACCATGAGACGAATGGGGACTTTCATAGTTACAAGCAAAGCGCAAGTGAAAAATGGAGTGTTTTGGGTAAAAATCAGTACCATATTTGGTAACGAAAATTTGTTTTGAGAAATTCAAAAATTTGCTTTAATTCTTCCATTAGAATATCAAAACACACAATATCACTAATTTGGTGATATGAGTTTTGACCAAAAAATCTGATATGCTATGAACTATTTCAAACCAATATCAATTGTCCCAAACGTGATATGGGGCTAAGTTTAAATATCAATATTAAAAAAACAATATCATAACGCATGCCAAACTAACAAGTCCAAGTTCAATGCCAACAATACTTTTCAAATAACTGATCTCCCAATGTCGCAATGAGGTTTAGAATCAGCATCACGGAGTCTTGAATCCATTTCTCCCCAAATGCTCCAAATGGCAGCAAAAATTAAACACTTTTGAGAGCCTGTACTTGATCAAGTTACCTCTGGGAACCATTGAATCAGTTGTTGGAGTGAACTGCAACCATAAGATGATAAGAAGATAAAAGCAGCAGATGAAGTTGACAATTCTAATCTGCAGCAGCCCAATGAATCTTCGGCTGCATTACAAGTGTGACGGATAGATGTATGATATCACTTGTAATTGGCTCAGCGCTTGTCATTTGACCCAAAAATTTTAGCCGTTTACCATCCATATGAGCCCAACATCTTGTAAACAAGCCAGTTAGTCTACCTATATATATTTAAATAATAGGAGTATATATAACGTGATAATGTGAATCAACACCCATGATGGTCATTACAAAAATAGATAAGTACAAATAATCTCAAATCTAAACAAGGAGTATCAATCCATATGTACAGCACATTTATTAAAATAAATACTAGGAGTATATATAATGGTTTAAAAAAAAAAATCAAGAATAAAAAAATATAGACAGTACCAATAATAAAATCACAAACAATCATAGAAGTAATATTTAATAAAATAACAAATAATCAGGAATCCAATAGTTGAAAGACCTTTTATGAGATGGACCAACAAGTAGGTCTACACAGAAAATAAAGACCAATCAGGTATCATTTGTGTTTGCGAGTCGTTATTATGTCGTGTCAATTTAAGGGTATTTTACTAAACAGTTCAACTCAAACATGATCCGTTTAATAATCGTGTCAGTAACCCTCACCTGTTTATTAAACAAGTTAAACTCATAACCCGTTTAATGATATACTCGATCAAACATTAAATATTAGAAAAATATAAATTTCAATACAACCAAATTAGTAAATAATCTCTAATCTACAAAGAATAAATTATAAAATACAAATTTAGATAGTTATTTTGGAACTTAAATAGAAATTTACTTATGACACGTATAATTAAACGGGTATAAACAGGTTGAATCCCTAAATTTAAACACGACACGATTAACTAAATGTTTAATCGTGTCGATCCGTTATGACCCGAACACATTTAAGGTTAACCCAAACCTATTAATTCGTGTCGTGTTGAAGGGTCGTGTCAAATTTTGCCACCCCATGAATGCCACATCACTTGCTTTGTTACCAAAATTATAGGCCGAATTGTAGAAGGGCATATACTGGGCCGAATCAATGAACGGTGCATGATCTTGTCATCATAAATTCTGACATACGCGTGAACACACCAAAAAATTCCCAAATTGGCGGGATGATCATTTTCACCATTAAATATATATATATATATATATATATATATATATACATATACATATCTCTCTATATAATCGATTTGGAATGGATTTTAGGGGGTGAAGCAGAAGAGAGTCTAGTCTAGGGCATCCCTCACACAACAGTCAAATGCTTACCGGACGAGAAAGCCTGATCAGATTGGTCGGCAGGCGGCGTAGATTCCTTCCCAACCGTCAATCTCTTCTCTCCACTCCTATCCAGGCATTCTTTTTTATCTGCTCTCTGTTTTTCTCTCTCTATATATACACACATTACATGATATATTGTTGGTTGTGTTGATTTTGTTTGTTCAATTTAGAGCTCTCTGAATCGATGCAAAGAAGATATAAATGGAGGACCTGTCTCGGACATGGGAGCTGGAAGTTCATCGGACCAACGTGAAGATAGAAATGGAGGGCCTGTCTCGGACATGGGAGCTGCAAGTTCATCGGACCAACGTGGTAAATGTGTGGTTGAGACGTCTGCTTCTGATCGGGTTACTTGTCCTGTTTGTGGGAACACAGTTAGCGGCGAAAATGACATGATCAATTCTCATTTGGGTATGTGTATTCATTTGCAATTCTCTTATTGTCATTTGTTGCGAGTTTAATTAACAATGTAAAATTGCATATTTTTATTTATTGTCACCAATGTGCTTATATTATATTCCTTTATGTGGATATATAGAGGCATAAATTGAATTCAACTCCACTCAAAAATCCTTTTTCCAACATCATATGTGCTAGTTTTGGTGTTTAAGATGCATGGGTTTTAATTGGAGGTCATGGTGATGCCGCCTTACCAAGCTAAATCAAATAAAAGATCTATGCAAGATAAAGGAGAAGTACTAAGCAAACCTTTAGTTGCTGTAAAAATAGCAATTACAAGGCTTTATATAGAATTTCTTCATCTTCAATCTGTCTGTCCTTAGATTAGCTAACTACCAAATGTAAATTAAAATCAAAATAGAAAAGTTGTTCAAAATCAGGAAATTTTCAGGATATGGAAAGTTTCTAAAAAAACACAAAGCTGCTGAGAAAACTAGGGATTCTGTTTGGCCCTCCTTGCAAGCCAACCCCCCACCCCACCCCCCGGGTTGGAAAGAACTCTCTAGTTAGAAGCAAATTTCCACGATCAAAAAAAAATTCGAGCAAGGCGTTCCATCCCTTCTTTCTTCTTTCTGAACTCGAATCAAATACCATAATCTTTTTATACTAACAATGAATACATTTGCATAATTCAGGGAAAAAAATGCATTTGCATAATAAACATGTGTATTGCTAGATTTCCTTTGAAATTGGTTAGATTTGCAAAACTCGGTGGAACACGTATTCTGCACAAGAAGTTTAATCAAACCGCCTAGCAGTTGTAGGGTGCTCCAAGAATTCACTCCAAATCATATCATAAAAGTGAAATTCATTATTTTCATCTCCATGCAGCTAAAAGCTTTATGATTAACCACTTTTTCCAAGTTAAATAAATTTGTTTTAGTGCTCGAATCTTCTTTGCTTCTTTTATTTTGAGATTCTTCTTTTGTAACTTATCAAAGATTGCTAATTGATCCCAATCCATTGGTAATTTTCACTCATAATTCAATATGTGGTTCTTCATAAAAATTAGATAATTCTCGTCAATGAATGGTTTTATAGCAGTCGATGTTATGAATGACCATGACTTATCACTTATTGAATTATTCTCTGAATCATGATAGAACCTTTCCAACCCTGGGCCATGGCTCCTCACGATTGACGAAAATGTTCTCATGGCCCCTTTCGATTGGCGAAAATGTTCTCACTGGACTACTCATCATCATCATAAACAGATTTGTCTTCTTATTCTCTACCAAGATATCCTGCAAATTCAGGAATTTCCACCTTAAAGCCACCATCCCAATGCCTTTCATAAATTGGAATAGGTGCTGTGTTACTGCGAGAAGAATTGACAAAATCCTCTTCAAGATTGTCCTCCTCATGAAAATCAAAAATGTCGAATCTGATATTTGCCAGCCAACGACGGTCAGTTTGCTCTTCGGGTGATTTTTTGGGACGCAAAACATAGAACGAATTTTCTGCGATAGTTTCGGTGTTTTGACACATTATCATCCACTGAAACATTGTCATCAACGGATGCGTTGATCAACTTGTCCCTGCAGATACTCTATTCTGTCTTGGTGTTGCTCGTGTAAGGGTTCAGCTAGACCAGCATCCTATGATTTCCACCTCTTAGATGTTGCCATGGAAGCATGATTGAGTAGTTAAAAAGCTGAAACCAAAGCTCTGATACCAAACTGATGCTGCCTTACCAAGAGGATACGATCAAATCATCTTCACAACAATAATTGAAACGAAATAAAAGAACAATGCAAGAGAAGGAGAATTGCAAAGTAAACTTTTAATTGCTGCAAAAATACAATCTTCTACTAGTACTCAAACCCTAGCAATTACAAGGCTTTATATAGAATATCTTCTTCCTCAATCTGTCCTTAGATTAGCTAACTACCAAATATAAATAAAAATAAAAATAGTAAAGTTGTTGAAAATCAGGAAATTTTTATAATATGGAAAGTTTCTAAAAATCACAAAGTTGACTGCAGAAAACTAGGGATTCTGTTTGGCCCTCCTTGCAAACCTAGCCTTCTTTGGGTTCTCCTAATGGTTATAGTTACTGACTGCATCATATGGTTTATAGTTTGGAACAAGAATTGGTGGCCAAGAGGATACAAAAGTTGATTGGCTCTTCTACGCTCAAAGCTACAAGTCATTGTCATCATCACCTTTATTTTATCCAAACGGGGTCGGCCACGTGGATTCTCTTTTTCCACTCTTTTATTTTTTATCGTAAGCGTATTTCCTGCTAGATTTAATTTTTAAAAATTATTTCTTATCACTTGATTCACTTCATTGCATGTTAGTTTTGGTCAATCTTTCTCTCATGGGTGCATCCATAGGTCTGTGTTGAATATACACATACCACCTGAGTTTACTCTCTTATTTTCTTGCTAATAGGTGCCACACTTTATTTCTCCATAACCTTTTGCTTATTAATATTATCTTTGTTAGTTATTCCTAATATCCATCTTAAGATCCACATTTCTGCTATATGGATGCGTTGTTTGTGTTTCTTATTTAACGCTCAACAGTCCTGTAAAATTATTCGTCTAATGATTGTGCTTATACCACTTCTTTTAACTAATTTGGTATTCGTTTATCGCATAAAGCCCCACTAGGCATTCCTCCACTTTGTCCAACCTACTCCAATTCTACTACTTACATCATCATTAATGTCTCCATCTTTTATTCAATTGATCCTAAGTATTGAAAATAATTACTTTGAGTAATGCTTTGGTCTTAAATGTTTATTGTTATATTATCATTTCCTATCACACTATTGTCGTCAATATAGCTAATAGTCAGCTATTCCTTATTAGGGGTCTAATTAGCTATTCCTTAATTAGGGGCATAATTACTGCTTTCCATAAATTGTTGCTTTCCTTATTTTATGTTCTTGAGAACATTATATTTGCCCATTGTAATCATCCTTTTTGATATGAAAATAAACGGTCAATTCTCTCTCTCTCTCTCTCTCTCTCTCCAGGATTAGCTTACACTTTTGACATGATATAAGAGCATCAAGGTAAAGTTGGAGACCTAACATATCTTTATACCCTTCTTCTTCTTCTTCTTCTCAGTTTCTTTCTTTTTTGTATAGCTTCTCTACCTTTTCTCTTTCTCTGTCATTTGGATAGAGATGACCTAAAACCCGAGGTTAAAAAAAAAAAAGAGCGTCTTATCTCTGACATAGATGACCTGGGAAAAAAGTATATTTCTTCTCTCTTTTTCGTCTACTAGTACCCAATTGAAGGGTTGCAACTACCTTCAATGGTCCCGAGCATGCAAGTTTTTCCGAAAGCTCATGGGAAACTTTCCCATATCAAGTCATCCAAACTTAAGGAGGAACAACCGATTAATGCATGGGAATGGGAGGATGCACAATTATAGTGTCGTTAATGGGCGGGATTGTAATTTTATGAATTGTCTTTTGGACCTTGTCGATAGCTTAAAGTTGTAGTATCGTCCTAGGCAACTTTTGTTTCCTTTGGGAGCGCTCCCCTTTTGAGTGCCTTTAATGGAATATTACTAATAAAAAAAAAGAAAAAAAAAAGGAGGATGCACATATTATGACTTGGTTATGTAAAAATATGAGCCAGAGGTGTTGTGTTCAATACTGTCTCGTTTTTGGAGTATGCTAAGGAGATTTGGGACACTCTCAAAGAGATGAACTCATCAAAAAAGTATATTTCTCTCATCTACCAGTTATACTAGGATAGCTTTTCTTTTAAACAGGATGATCATTTGGTTGAAGAATACTAATCAAAACTGAAAGGCATGTGAGAAAAACTTAATGTTTATCAGCCTTTGACTACATATTTAGAGACTCAAAAGCAAGGTAGAGAAAAATTTTGGGTAGCAAATTTCTCTCGGTTTTGAGATTCTCTCAGGCAAAGACTTACCGACTGTTAGTGACACTTTTATCCAAGTTTGACGTGCCTTCGTCCACTCTTATACCACAGAGAAGGATTTTTTTGCCCTTGTGGCTCTAGCTTAGTGATCAGATATTGCATGTGGTGGTCGAGGGGGGCATGGTTGTTGACTTACTAGTAGAGGTGGTCGTGGTGGCAGGACATGTACACATTGTGGCTACACCTTTCATTAATTCAATGTATTTTTGGCTTCTTCTTAAGGTCATTTTAATCAAGATAAGATTAAAGGATTGGTAGAAGAAGTCACCTTTGGTGATAGAGGAGTGTATAACAATATGTGAATCTTGTCTAGAGGGTAAAATGATAAATAGTTTTTTTTGTAGCCCAGGGACATAAAGCCAAAGAATCATTGACAGTTGTACATACTGATGTTAGTGGTCCTCTAAATATTTGGGGAAGAAGTTGTGGATACTTCTTAGGAGACTTCAAGGACTACTTGGAAACGAAGGGGGTTGTGTGCCAATTGTCTACACTGGGCTATCCTCAATAGAATGGTGTAGCGGCAAGAAGGGATGGAACTATATTTGACATAGATAGATCGATGATTTGGGGTCTAACCCTAGATATAATGATATACATACTGAAGAATTCTAAGTCAGTACCTAAGACTCCTTATGAGCTATGGACGGGCAGCTTCATGTATGGGGTTGCCTTGTACATTTGCGAAAAGGAAATGTGACTAAGGTGGAGTCGAGGTCGGAAGTATATTTGTTGTAGGCTATACAAAAGGGACACGTGGTGTTTTGTGATCCCAAAAATCCGATAGTATTAGTAAGTACTGATATTATATTCTTGGATGATGATATTGTGAAACGAACCCAGATGCATAACTTATTTTGTAAGAAATGTTTAAAAGTGAGGAAATCTCTCAATTAGCCTTGCGTTTTATAGAGAATGAGACTGATGGATTGCTAGATACATCAGTTATTCCACCTCCAGTTTCTAGTACACTGGTACCTTGTCATAGTGGGAGGGTCTCACGATCACCCATAAATACATGATATTGGGAGAATTTTGCAAGGTGATCCCCGATAGACATGTGTTGGACTCCAAGAGTACGGGAATGTTGGTTGCATATGTCCATTTATGGACTTGAGCAAGCATCTCGAAGCTGGAACATCCGTTTTGATCAAGTAATTAAATCTTTAGGTTTTGATCAAAACATTGATGAGCCTTGTGTCTGTAGTTAGACTTAAGATTGCGTGGTAATTTCTTAAGTTCTTTGTGTTGATGATGTTTTACTCATTTGAGATGATGTAGGGGCATTGTCATCGGTGAAGGTGTGGATGTCCAACTAATTTTGATATAAAGTACTTGGGAGAAGTTGGTTACATCCTTGGGGCGAAGCTTTTGTGAGATCACAAGAAAGGATGTAAGGCTTATCACAGATTGCATATATAGACATGATTTTTATTAGTTATGCAATGCAAGACTCTATGGAGGGTTTTATCCTTTAGGCATGGATTATCAATGTTCGAGGATCGGTCTTTTAAAACACCTGAGGAATAGAAAGCGATGAAGTGAAAACCATGTGCTTTGGTTGTTGGTAACTTCATGAACGCTTGGGTTTGCATTTTCAGATATCTATTATGCAGTCGGCATAGTGAGTAGATGTCAAATAGTGCTATTCACCGGACTTCAGTGGAACATATTCTCGATCACTTGAGAAGGGTTAGAGATTCCTTGCTCATTTATGAAGGAGATGAGCTAGTTATAGTCAGGATACATAGGATTCTAATTCTCAATCAACTAGTCCCAAAAGTCAACCTTTGGTTATTTGTTTTTGTTTAAATGAGGAGTTGGTAGGTGTAGGTTGTAGTTGTGTTCCTTCAGAGGAAGCTTAGGAAGCTGTTTCCCACTGATAGTAATAATATACATTTCCATTGGAGTATCAAGAAATATTGGATTGCAAATTCCACCATGGGGGTCGTAGTTGTTATCCCTTCAGAGGCAGAGGAGGAAGCCATTTGGTTGGAGAAGTTCTTTCTTGATTTGGGAGTTGTTTCATTGATAGGTTTCACTATTGTGGTGGAGCGGTAGCTCAGTGGAAGGATCCCAGAAATCATAAGCATGGAAAATACATAAAGAATAAGTGTTTTCTTGGAAGGGAGATTGTGCACTTTTGTGACATATTATAGCATACGAATAACATTTCAGATCCTTGCACATTTCCATGTGAAGGGTATAGGTGGTTGATGTGGCATCAGTTGGCTATGAGGGTAAGTGGGAGATTGTTGGGATTATGTGCCCCTTTATAGCAAATAATGGGTTGTATTTGACATTTGTTATTAATGGAATCTATGTTTAAATTCGTTGCATGCATATATGGTGAATGATTGTATTGATCGATGCATGAGATGGATCGAGGTTGTCCATTTGACTATGCAATGTGGTTTATATGTGTATGATAGTTCATGTATGGGTGATATAAATCACAGATATTGTATTATCATAAACTGTTCATATTCGGTGGGAGAGGATGGACTCTCTATTTGAGAAGAATTGAACTTGGATTGACGATAAGTTGAGACGATTGTGAAGCCATCATTGTATGATGGTTACTTTATTTTGACTTGATTAGTGTTGGAGAATATTATTATAGGAACCTTAAATTTCTTCATAGAACATTACTCTGAGAATATTGTGGGAGTGATTTTAGTCTATGATAAAATATGATTGGAGTGATTTATGGGATTGATTTTATGAATCCTCCATTAATGTATTTTCCATATTTATCGCTTTGTTCTTTCGCCTATGTATCCTTGTGTGCTTCATTTTCTATTTCTCTCTTCAATTTTGACATAGTATCAGAGTAGGTTTATCAAACCATACTCTATACTCTACTCGTCTCCGATCTACGGATCAACTCGTCGATTTACGGATCACTCGTCTCGGATCTTCAGATCACTCGTCTCGGATCTTCAGATCACTCGTCTCGGATCTTCAGATCAACTCGTCTTGGATCTTTACAACTCGTTTCAAACTCTCAACAACTTCGTACTTAGTTTCAAGTTGGACACTTGAGTTAAAATCTTCGTGTACCAATTTGAGGAGGGTGTTGGAGAATATTATTATAGGAACCTTAATTTACTCCATAAAATATTGCTCTGAGAATATTGTGGGAGTGATTTTAGTCTATTATAAAATATGATTGGAGTGATTTATGGGATTGATTTTATGAATACTACATTAATGTATTTTCTATATTTATCACTTTGTTTTTTCACCTATAAATAGAGGTGCTCATTGTAAACAATTTTAAGAGAGAATATAATAAAGATGATGTAGCTCTTTGGGCTTTGTGCGTGTATCCTTGTGTGCTGCATTTTCTATTTCTCTCTTAAATTTTTACAATTAGTTTAATTAGTGAAATCCGGGGCTAGGTATTTTTGATAAAATGATTTTTAATATATATTTATTTATCAAATATGTTATTTTATTAAAATAAAGTTGTAAGTGATCAAACGTGATCAATCAAGGAAGTCAAGAATAAAAGTTTCAATTAAGTAGTTGGATTGATGGAATATCTGATGGCTAATTGTGCATGGAGGGGTCATATCGTAAATTAATTTGGTGGTTTCAACATTCTCTAATTAGAGTGCAACCATTCTTATATAGCAGAGTTAAGTTTTTTTAATTGGTTGATTTAAATTGGGTCATGAGATGATCGGATCAATTAATTAGCCCATTGGATCCAAGAAGAGAATGGGCCTAATAGATCCTCACTTCTAGCCTGAATGTCAAGTATGAGGGAGTGGACATAGTAAGTAGAGAGAAGAGAGTGCTATGGGCACTTTATGAGAGTGTAGGGGGGTGATATGAGCACTTCTTTGGAACTCCTTTATATGTGTTAGAAGGGTTCATAACCGTAAGGTCTTGCATTTTCTCTCAAGACAAGAGACTATATCTACACACATAGTTCTCTCTAGGTTCTCTTACTTTCTCTCTCTAAGGGTTCCCACAAACCAAGCTTATGGAATTCAAGAAAGGGTCATAGAGATGACATTCTAGAAGCTAGAGACCAAGGAGGAGGAGGAAGGTGCTTGGAGATTCAAGAGAGGTATTTAAAGTGGGTGTGTGACTATACTAAATCCCAAGAGGTATACGGCTCTACATTTTTATAAATAATTACATGTATATGAATTTGTAGTGAAATTTACACAGGCTTCTTCATCTTGAAATTTTTTGATCTCTACAAGAATTCTTAGTGGTTGTTCTTCCGCAATAAATCCCATTTTCCAACAATACGCTTGTCGTGAAGTTCCCAACAACGATCAACACAATGGTTTTTGTGGCTACAATGTGTATATGTCCTGCCAGCACGGCCACCTCTACTGGTGTGTGAAGGACCACTTCTCCCTTGGCCACCATGTGAAGTATTTGATTGTTCAGCTGGAGCCACATGGGCAGAGCAATCCTCCTTCTCTGTGATAGAAGTGTGGATGGAGACACGTTGAACCTAAGCAAAGGTCTCACTGGCAGTCAGTAAGTCTTTGCTTGAGAGAATCTGAGAACTAATGGGAGCAAATTCTGGCTGAAGCCAAGAGAAATTTTGCTACAAGAAGTTCTTCTATGTGTTGTTCTGAGTATGTAAATCTGTAGTCAAAGGTTGATAAACATTAAGTTCTTCCCACATGCCTTTCAGTTCCGAGTAGTATTCTTCAATCCAACGATGACCCTGTTTAAAAGAAAAGATATTCTGGTACAACTAGTAGATGCGAGAAATATTCTTTTCAGACAAGTACATCTCTTTGAGAGTGTCCCAAATCTCGTTAGCTGACTCCATAAACGAGACATTATGGAACACCTCTGGTTCCATATTATTCCATAACTAGGTCATAATCTGTGCGTCTTCCTGTTTCCATGTGTCAATTTTTTTTTCCCAGGTTTGGGTGACTTGATATAGGAAAGTTTCTCAAGAGCTTTCAGAAAGACTTGGACTGCCTGGGACCATTGAAGGTAATTAGAACCCTTCAATTTGGTAGTCATAGGGTAAGAAAAGTGAGAATCCTTGTTTTTCGATTTGTCACCCATGATAGTGAGGAGAAACAATCCTAGTACAAGTTTCAAGCGAGGGAACTACAAAATTGTGAACGTGAAATCAAGAAGAAAGGTACTTTTTTTTTGGCATAGGGTTCTAGGTCATCGTTGCTCAAATGACAGAGAAGAGCAAAAGTAGAGAAGCTGACTATAAAATAAAAAAAGAAAGAAAGAAAGAAACTTAAAGAAGAATAAGAAAGATATAGAAGAAAAAAAGAGGAAGAAGATGAAGATACTTACGTTTGGTCTCCAACTTTAACCTTGATGCTCTGATACCATGACAAAAGTGTAAGCTAGATCTTTGATAGAGAAGAATTGAGTGCTTATTTCATATCTCAAAAGGATGAATACAGTGGGAATATATAGTGTTCTCAAGAACACAAATTAAGAAAAGTAACAATTTATGAAAAGCAGTACTTATTCCCCAAATTAAGGAATAGCTAATCATTAGCTATATTCACGACATTGCGTTTAATTTAAATTTATCTGTTGAAAAGATAAGTGCTCGGATTGCTAACAATAGTTTTTATTGGAGAAACCCAAAAGCTGCACCTTGTGGATTATCCTAAATATTTTTTTCTGGAGCATTTTAGAAACAATGGGGCACTAGTCCAAAACCTGAATCTAAAGTCAATTGCCACTCATAAAAGCTGCACTAGTTATATATATATATATATATATATAAATTCAATTACTAGTTTTGTCTTTGGAAGAATTAGTGCTCATGTTGTTGATTTTTAATTATGTACCAGCAGTTACAATGCAGGGAAGAAACCTCTATTATTGATGTTCTCATGTTTTTTCTTGACTAGAATTTAATCAACGATTTCAGATGCATGCCTAGCTAGGGGGACTAAACGGAAACTGAGCCAGAGCACTCTTCTTCAGTTAAACTTCTGCTCAAGATCAAAAGTTAAAATTTGCTCCAGCAAGCCAGATCATATAGGGATTAGTTTCAATCAGATGGGTAGTGATAACATTTTTGTATGTGATGCCGTTCATAAATTGCATGATTTTGTTGGTATTGAAGAAAATGACAGTAGCCATTGCAAATCACCCTTAAATTCAGAGTATGTGATGCAACCACACATGGATGCTTCCATAGAAAGCTCAATCATTGATGACAGTATCTACTATGGGGTTGACTCGACTTTGGCATTGGCTGAAAATGAGACCCCTAACTATGAGATGGCTGAATCTCTGGACAGCATCTCTGGGGTGGTTCTTGAAACTTTCATCGTTGGCCGCCGGTTCAGTGATGAAATGGAGTTAAATCCTGGGGCAACCATCTCTCTTTTGAGAGATCCTGATAATGTTAAGGATCCCAATGCTGTGAAGGTTCGTTTCTTTTGGCTTTGCCATTCACGTTGATTTCAATTTATTATTTACTTTTGAAAGCATTATATGGTCCTTTGAGTCAGGTTCTTTCTGCTGATTCTGAATGCTGTAAAGTGCTTGGTTTTCTCCCTCGAGAGTTGGCTCAATATCTGTCTCCTTTAATGGACAACTATGGCTTGAGCTTTGAGGTATTATATCTCTTTCACCAGAATAAAAGTGGTTTCTGAAATTTTAAGCATTTTTTTCCATTTTAATCTAATTCTTGCGTCTGGCATGAGACGAGGATGCTGGTTAGAATCTCAGAAGTTAGGTTTGTCTCTAATCTTCCCCTCTTAGCAGTTTGTGTAGATGGGACATACATTGGGTCATGCACAAGCTTATGCTCGCATCTCTCCTTATCTCCCTCTTTGGATATCTTTTCAATACATAATATTCTTTCTGCATTAGCTCTATGCTTTTGCTATCTCTGTGGCTTTTTTTTTCCCCTTCTCCATTTTAGCAAATTGTATGATTGAACGTACTACCAATTCAGTGTCACTGAAGTGTAATGCTTCCTGCACGGTTAGGCGAATATAAAATTTGGCAAGCCCATAGTCTACGGCCTGTGCATAAGTTAAATACCATGACAGAACTATACACTTAGACATAATTATACGAATATCAAAATTGTATTGTGTCATAACATTATGTAAAGAAGTAAAAGGCTGAATGTGGCAAGATTGTGAGTATGATAAAATACAACAGTAATTATGAATACTCTGTGAACACAATCCACATGATGTTTCGCTACATGTACAAATATGAGATAGACAAAGGCCTTAGATAAAAGATTTGAGGTAGGAATTTTCCCCTATCAAAGAATATGCATTTCTTCAAGTGGCTCAAAAAGGGAAGAAATAGTTGTTGCTTGGTGATTTATAGGATAGCAAAAAAAAATTACAACTGGGAGTTTAAGGTGTGTTTTTTTTTTTTTTTTTTTTTTCCTTTTTCCTATTTTAATTTTTTCAGTTTGATATCCATTATTCATGTTACGGTTTTGGTTGTTTTCAGACATCTTTTTTGCAACATTCAGATTGGTGAGTGTTTTATTGTGTATTTTGCATCTCTGATCAACCTGGAGCTATGTTGAGATGTTGAATCTGAAATTTCCACTAAATTGAGGTTAAAAAGTGCCAACATTTATTTTAACTGCCAACTTTGTCTATTTCTAAAATAACTTACAGGTACATTTAAAATTTAGTACCCGTCTAGTTTTGCATTAGATTTTGTCATATATTTGTGGCCTCTAGAAAAATAGTTTTTCAAATATACTTTTATTTATATATTACCTTAAAAAGTTTGTATATCTGAAGAACGAGGTGGTAGTAAATAAGTAGTGGTAGCAAGAAGATCACTAAAGGGCCTATGTGGTATAACCTCCACCACCCAAAGGGGAGGATGAGGGTTCAAACCCCAAGTGGCTAGGTGCTGCTTACTTTCAAAGAAAGAGGGGGAAAAAAAAAGACCTACCTGGTGAGTTATAATTTGATACTTTATCAAAAAAAGAAGAGTAGATTGCTAGAATATCAGAAAAAATTATGCAAACATTTAGTGGTTAAATTTTTATTGAATCTTTCCTTTTTTATGTTTAAAATGTACTTTTATTCTTTTACAGTAAAGTCTTGAGGGTAATTCTCAGACAGATTTCTCAGGTTTTTTTTTTTTTTTTTTTTTGTTGCAAATCTTAAGGACCCTAATTTATCTCCCTGATTTTACCTTGGTGTGTTCACATTGCTACAAGCTCGCATGCCCTGCAATTTTCATTTTAACCTCCGCTAATTATTAAGTCAATGTTAGAACTTGTTTCCTGATTGTTATTCTAGCTCATTTGGTCGTCACAACAGGATAACTAGATTTAAGTTATCATGGCATTTTACCATGAGTTTGTCTTGTAGGGCTGTATAACTTCTGCTCCGAAACATGCTCTTGCTGTTGTTCCAATTCAGATTGCGTGTCAAAGCAAAATATCGTGTGCTGAAAAAGAAGATGATCTTCAGGTCTTCAAGTCCTTATGGAAACATTCTTTACGTGTTGTTGGATCCGCAAAAAGTTGTCCACCTAGCATGACAAAATATCAGCAGAACTTTTTGTTTTTAATACAGGAGGTTTTAAGGAGTTACTCTCATCTTTTCACATATGAGGAAAAGGTTTTCTTGGGTACCAATATTAATACTGGTGTCTTTTAAATTTATAATCTTTCTAAACGGATAAGCTTAAAATGGAGTTTTTGTGTTTTCTGTTGACAGAAACTTTCACCTCGCTTTCAGATGATAGTCAGAGGCTTTTTGTTCGACTTTATACACGAAAAGGTTTTATTCTGGCTGTGTCTAGTTAAATCTGTAGTATTCACAAATTACCATGTTCTTGCTCCTGTCCAAATTTATCATGCCAATGCTCATATACATCTATATACATATATATTTATTTGAGCTTATGCTTCTGAAATCTTTTTATTTTTTTTTTATTTTTTATTTTTTTTACTATTAATTTTTTATCACATAGAATGGTAAAAAATATACTAAAACTTTGAAAACATTTTTTATTTATCGACTGTAAGATTCTTTGTACTTTTTAGTTGCTACTAGTTGATACAAGGTTATCATGCAAAATGGCTAAAAGAATATCTAAATTTCTAGAACATTTATGTTCTTTTGTTTATTTATTTCTTTTTAAGGTGTCTTGTACTTGATTAGGGCAACTATATGTCATAGATATAACAGTAATTTAAGGAATAATATCTCTAGGCTAGAACTAAGTGATAACATAAATTTAGCTACGTGTCATTAAACTGTTTCTTAATGTATATATCATATAACTGTGACTCTTTTTCCATAAGAAGAAAAAAATTGTTAATAAACTATTAACATGAGAATATTTAGAGCATTTTGGGCATTACCCAGTGTATTTTGCTACATACAATGAACATGGTCTTATGAAAGGAAGGGTTGTTATCTTCTTATCAACTCTATATACTAACTAGTAGACTAGATCTATTACATTTTGAGCATTTAGGGATTACTAGTATATTTCCCAACATGCAATGAACACGGGTTTGTGAAAGATTGGGGGCTATCTTCTTATTGGTTGTATTAGTTATGTGGGGGCAGTATCTTCATAAAGATGTATGGAGTTTGGACAGTTCACACTACATTGTTTATCTGGCTTAGTTACAATTCTTCATTTTTTTTCTTTTACTCGTAAGAAGTAATGATTTAAAACTCTAAAAGGGTTAAATGGAGAACAATCCATGTATACACGTGGTAAAAAGTAATAATTTGCATTTCATTATTGATGTTGGTTTGCTTGAAAAAATGCGGTTGAAGTGTTCATGCTGCAGAATAGGCTTAATGATAGTCGGATACTTTCCTGTTCCTCCCTTAGAAAATGATATACTTTTTATTTTATTTTATTTTATTTTTTATTTTGCTTCAGGGCCATGGTTTCGGATGTCTAGTTTTTCCTATCCTGAAATCTCTGATTGCCAACATGCAGTCGAGGGACTTTCTGGTAATTCAGTTCTTTTACTTATTACTTTTAGTACCTTATCATTTTAATTTCCAAGTTAATGATGTGCTATGGCAATGGAAAAATTGTTTCTTTTCATATTGCAGCAACAGGCTATATTTGTTCCATCAAATCTAAGAATGAACTACGTGGTGGTGACTTGAAGGAAGTTCTTAATGTGCTTAATGTCTTTGAGCTACGTGAAATTTTGTGCGCGCTCAACAAGGTTTGCATTTAACTTACCCCTGCCTCCCCTTAAAATACTTATTCATTTTAGTTTCATTGATTATGTATGCATGTGTACATGATGCCTAGTAAAACCACTTTGTGCAAACAATCCAAAGGTTTGGTCTGTACCTCCCTCCCGACCACATTGCGTAATGGCTTTTGGCACTTACGTATCAGTCATGCATTAATTATTTGATGGGACATCTACTATTTTACCATGTTGAGAAGCTTAATTTTAAGCTAGTTGAAGGCTATGTTACATGAACTTGGTTAGGTGTCTGGTGCGGCTATGTGCCTAACTGTCAGATTTATCAAATCTCTAAACTCAAAGACATAGAGACATGGGTAAATATTCCTATACTTGAATATTTTTTATTTCTTTTATAGAGTAAAATAATGTTTCTACTCATTTTAAAAGCAATGGTGTAACAAAAGGAATACAATAAAGAGAGTTTTATGTACAATTGTATAATAAGCTTGAAATATTCTAGATGGTGTCCAACCTTTTGTGCCACATATCCCACATGTTCAAATGTTGAGTGTCCGACACTGATACATCATACATCACACATTTTTTTTAGACTCCATGTAACAATAGGTTGAAGGATGAACACATGGCCCTTCTATTCATCCTTGGTGATTATTAGGTTGAAGGATGAACACATGGCCCTTCTATTCATTCTTGGTGATTATTATGTTTTACATGAGTGACACGACTATGGGTTTATGTTGAGGTAACAATATTTATTACCTATATTTTGGTTAAATGCTTGCTTAACAAAAAAATGTTTAGTTAAAAGTTTTTATTAAAATCATTGAGCTCTAGATGAAATGCCATTTATTGGTAAGTTGTCTACTTTAGTGCATGTCCTACTATTGCATATATACATGGTCTTTCTTCCAAATAGCATGCACAGCCATGACACTTCATTAGTTGCAAGATATTAGGTGTTAGTGAATCCTGAATAACTAGTCTATTTCACGTTAGGTAATCCAATCTGTAGTCTAAAGGCTCTAAATTTACAACAATTTTTGTTTTCTGTTGCATTTTGTATTGATTGTTTGTAGCAGCATGCTATGCTAGGAAGCACGGACACACCTAAAAGGGCAAAGAATCTGTGTTGGACACGTGTAATGAATCACATATATATATAGTTTTGAATATTCAAACGCGCAGTGGACACGCCTCTGACACGCCATGGATACTGTTACCCAGATTATGACTCTAGAGGGAGGGAGGATTTTATAATATGGAACAATGAGAATGTATATAAAGTGAAGGCTTGGGTATTTCTGATAGCACACGTTTTCTTTCTTATAGCTTTTTGTAACTTTTTCATATAATGAATCACATATATATATATATATATATCTGCGCAAAGTGGATCTGAAGTAATCGGTTAGATCAACCAAGTAGTTGGGTAGATGATATCTAAAGCTCCATCTGATCGATTACATTCACCATCTAATCGATTACTTGGTCCATCTGATCGGTTAGATCAGGAATGTAACCGGTTACATTAGATCTGGAATAATTTCTCTTTTCTCTGTAATGTTCATCTGATTGAGTAGATGATGTTATCTAGTCGATTACATGAGTTCATCTGATCGATTAGATTAGTGAACTAACCGGTTAGATGAGGGAGAATGGTTTTATGAACTCCTTACTGTTTTGCTCATCTGATTGGTTACTTGTTGGCATCTGATCGATTACATGGTCTCATCTGATCGGTTACATGGCTAATCTAATCGGTTAGATTGTCAATCAAAATACATGCTCACTGTAATCCTCATCTGATCGATTACATGTGTGATCTGATTGATTAGATCACCTGAAAATTGATTTTTAATGAAATGATATGCATGCGTTTTGGAAAATCCTTTTTGAGCTTGTATCACCCGCTTCAGATTAATTGCTTTACATAATTTGTAACTCTCACCAGTCTAAGCTACCCCTTTGATGATGACTTGAATATCTTTAAGCTTCGTTTGCCAAGAATGATCTTTTGATTTGCTGTTATTGTTCAATGCCTGAAGCTTTCCTGTTATTGCAACACTTAGGAGAAAAAGTTAAATGCATTTCTTCTTTGTTTGTTATTATCAAAAGCATGGAGGAGGCCTTTGTGCCAACAATCTCCCCGTTTTTGATGATGACAAACATAGAAGCAAATCATGATGGGAAATTAAATATTGCTTCCCCTCAGTTTATGCATTCATTTAAAACAGATTTATTTATAACAATAAGCCGCATAAATGAGATAAGTAATAAAAGTCGCTGTAGTAAAAAGCAGCATAAATGAGATAAGTAATAAAAGCCGCTGTAGTAAAAAACAATTGCATTCTAACAATTTCCAAAAACATGTTTTTTTCCCCCTTTTGACATCAATCAAAAAGAATTACAAGGCGGGGTACAAAATAGATGAAACATAAGAACTCCTGTCACTTATCGGTGGAATCGTTGGAGTCATCGGTTGGAGGGTCTTTTGAAGTGGCTGGAGGAGGAACCTTGGTGGAGAGATTGCCGGAAGGGAACATCTGAAATTTATCAATGATAGCTTTCAAAAGATCCCGCATTTGCTCGAAGTGAAGGTTATTCACATCAAGGTGCCGCTCGATAAGCTCATAGACATTGTTAGCCCTTTGTTTGACAATGTCCAAATCAAAGGTCTGAGTGGAATGATTTTCGAGAATGGTAGACACGGTGGACTGAAGCATGTTCTCAAGGGTTGAGACACGAGATGCCAAAGTCTCAATAGTAGTAGTGCATGCTGCTGATTCATCTTGAGAGATATGGCGTCAATGGCCGCCATAGTCTGACTATGCTGTTCCTGGAGAAGCTACGTGAGAAGTGAGGAATCCGGGGATTGACTAGAGGATGGTGGAATCAGAGGAGTATCAAAAAAGAAGTCGTCTATGTTAATCTCCTGTTGAGAGGATGGTACTGTGGTGGATGAAGTGGGCTGCTGTGAAGATGAAGCAGAGGAGATTTTAACCCAAATGCCATTGATCTTTTTGGCATTCATGTTCTTCAAAATTTTAAGGCTGAATTTGTCTTCATCAGTGACATCCCGTTTCAGTATCGAGAGGAACTTTGAAATGCTTGAGGATGCGAGTGAGCATCATCCCGTAGGGAAGAGAGGCGACTTTGGTTTTGGGAGTAGAGCTTGAAGATGCTGGAGCGGAAGGTTTCATGAATTGAAGAATGTGATTGAACATGATATACCCCAAATTGAGCTTTCATCCTGTAGACAAGCACCACATAAAAAATATATCAAAGTGGGAGACGTGAGTCTGTCCAGCCCATGAGGCAAAATGGAGTAAAATATGGCATTATGAATGAGTCGGTTCTCTAAAGTGAGATCCGATGTAGTGATAGGAAAGGACTTAGGATTTGGGGGATTACCACATAGGATTTGGATTGCAGCTTCCTCATTGAAATCCGGGGCTTGAACGCGGGTTTTATGAACATAGATGCACTCGCTGTCATCTGCAAGACCCAAGATTTGATTCAACTGTTGATAGTTGAAACGAATATTAACCCCTTTTACACTCGAGCAGAGAAGAGGATTGTTGAACGCCAGTTGAGTATAGAATACTCGAAGCAATGTTGGATAGAAGGATTCGGAGATGGATATGAATGAATCCCATCTGAGAACTTTGAACCTCTGAAAGAAGGAGAGGCCTTCTGTAGTACATAGATCTTCGAGAAACACACGACCGTGTTCAATTTCTTGGTTCCTGAATTGTTCGTTGAATAGATCCTCTAAATGCTCTGGTAGAAAATCTGCGGTGAGGATGGGAGTAGAGGATGAAGGATTTGTGAGAGGATAACTGCGTGTCCTTTTTGCTCGACGTAGATCCATGGTTGGATCATAGTCTTCATCATCATTTCTAGGAGGATAAGTGACGGTCGGAGAAGATGTAGGGGGACGAGGGTTTCTTCCTCCTCGAGCACTGCGAGTGGCACGGGCTCGTGAGGGGCTGTGAGAAGAATTTCCTGAGAGATTTGTTCTTGCCATGGTAAAGATGATGGTCGGAAGAGAAGAAGAGGAGAAGGATGGAAGAGAGAGGTGGCCGGCGGTGAGAGAGAAATGGAAGAGAGGGATGTGAGTGAGGGAAATGATCGAGTAGATGGGAATAGAAAACAGTACCTTTTTATAGAAAATACCATCTAATCGATTAGATAAGAGCATCTAATCGGTCAGATTATATTATATCTAATCTGATCGATTAGATGATAGCATCTAATCGGTCAGATTAGATCTAAATCTAATCTGATCGATTAGATCAACTCATCTACTCGATTAGATGAAGAAATTTAAAAAAAAATTGAAAATGCATCTAACCGGTTACATACTTGGTCTGTACGGGTGGAGACGCTTAGTGACTTGCCTCTGGAAATCTCATCTAATCGGTTAGATTATGGATATAATCGATTAGATGCCATCATGTGAGCGCACAAATGACAGTCTACTCGAGTAGATGGAGAACTTTTGAGAAACTTGTTTCAATCATTCCCAGTTCTCTGCGAATTTTAAAAAAGCGATCTTCAGGGAGTGGTTTAGTGAAAATATCAGCTAGTTGATCCTCAGTTTTGATAAATATAAGTTCAATATCCCCTTTTGCAACGTGATCACGTAAAAAATGGTGCATAATCTCGATATGCTTGGTTTGAGAATGCAGTATAGGATTTTTGGAGATATTTATGGCACTTGTATTATCACATCTGATGGGAATATTATCAAACATAAGCCAAAATTTTCAAGTTGCTGTTTGATATACAATGTTTGAGCACAGCTATTTCCTGCTGCTATGTATTCTGCAGTAAACAAGGCAACGGAATTTTGTTTCTTGCAAGACCAAGACACTAATGAGTGCCCAAGAAAATGACAAGTACCACTTGTGCTTTTTCGATCCATTCTACATCTTGCAAAGTCAGCATCTGAATAGCTAACAAGTTCAAAAGATGTGTGAGAGGGAAACCATAGACCAAAATTT